AGAGAAAAAACCAAACAAACGGGCAGTTTTGTATGGTTCCAATTGAACCCTGCATCATTATTATTATTTTTTTTTGCTTATTTAAATTAAATAAATTATTGTGGTTAGGAATGGATGGCTAAAGTGATTTTAAGCAGGGAACGTATGAATTTCTTAAAGTTATTATCGCCTGGCTCTACAGTTTCGTTAAAGCGTAAAGTTGTAGCATACTCAGATGCCCCCGTCAGCCAGTAAATGGAAGCATTACCTTTGACTAGCCAAGTGAAATGAAACCTAGTAATCAGAAAGTATGGGGATTTTAACGTTTGCATGACTCTCATATGATGATAATAGTGTTTTTTACTCTCTAGTCAAAGTAAATGTAGAACGTATTCTGTGTCTTATTGATTAAATTGGCCGCAGCATAGAAAATTCACTTGTTTATCTTCAAATAAGTTCCAGATCTTGATCAGAACTATCGGGTAATCCTCGATTACTGTAGATTTCTGAATCATACTTAGGGAATTATTTTGGACAAAAACTTAATCCCGATCAAGGTGATCGTGAGTGAACAATCACCACACCCACAATTACTTGATAAACTTCTAATGTAAACTTTAAGATGGGGTTCATGAAATGTTTCCCTCAAAGCGAATATTATCAGCTAACTAGAACCAGTGCAATCTAATTTTCTTTCTTAAGTGATAGTACTGTACTATGTCTTTGTAAGCACGAAATTATGACTCATTCTCTCAAACTTATTTAGAAAATAAGTGTTTACAAATGTTACTACTTCTGATGGGCTATATATATAAAAAATGTTGTTCATAATAACTTAAAGAAGCAGAATTGTGGTTTTTAGAAAGAAGTGATTTTTTCTGTTAATGAGTATTAGGCCGAAGCAAATAAATATCCTATATATTTCACTAGGAAATATTATTATGAGGCTACAATTAAAATCCAAATTCGGTTGAGGATGTATAGATAGCTTAAAAGCTGGGCTAGTTCGGAAAAAACAATTTTTCAAAAAGTTTCGCTAAAACCTTTGAGTGCCAGTAATTTGAAGTGGTCTTCAGTAGTGATGTTAGATGAAAAATAAATGGTCGGCCCACCGCAACATTGTAAAAAAAAGGTAGCATTACGCCTTAAGTTAGTATAGTTTCCACACTTTGAGAGAGAAATATTGACATTACACAAGGATTTCCTTTAAAACTTTAAGCTTTACACAGAACTTCTTACGTCAACTTTCGGGGGTTTTGCTGTATAAAAAGTTAGGAACATGACGACGAAGCAAACGACTTTTATAACGATTTATATGAAAAGTAAGCTGCAGACTTCGCTTTTATTTGTTTCCTGATTCTATCCGAAAGCATTTTCAATACGCGAACTGGGAGTCACTATTTGCCTCAATACATTCCTTTAACGACACTTTCCATTACTTCTTAAATGTAGCGATTTTCTTGTTAAGAAGATCGCAAATGATCAATAACAAGATAGATTTCCATGCGGGGTACTCCGAATTCCCAGATGATTGTAATGATAAGGAGATTCTAGTTTATTAACGGCAATGATTGATTACTTCTTTGCACCGTATGGACGGAAAGAAAGTTAATGACATGATAGTCCTTATCATTGTTCAACCGGAAGATGCGGCCTGCCAAGTAATCCATTTTGTAAAGCACTCGAAAGCCTACAAAGTATTACGTAATCTGCTACTTTCGATGATTTCTTAAGAAAATTCCTTAGTGATTTCTGCTCAGTTTTCTTTCTCATCGCACTGGGGGCTGAGGTGAGTGTAGTGATGCGCCTAAAGATGATTTTTAATAAATAATTTTTATTTTCTCATATCAATTCATAGGGCTGAGAGTGATTTTAAGTAGTTTCAGAATTTCAATTAAAATTTTATGATATTTTCATCGAAATGAAATTCACTGCAAAAAACTCGTCATTTCGGCAAGAAATTATTTTGAAATCCATTTCAGCACAATACAAAAAAAAAAACGAGTCCACCTTACTGTTCTCGCGATAAACTAATGTTGATAGTACGGCATTGCTGTACGTTTGCTTGCTTGCTTGTTATCCGAACAAAGGAAAAAAGCAAAATCATACTAGCGCTGTTTTTGTCGCTCCTCATATGGAACTCAGATAAAGAAGTTTGACAAGAACGATGCAAGATTCTAATATAATAAAATGAGCACTTGTACGTTGATTCCATCAAACAAACACACGCTTCTTGTTTACGTTTGTAACGATATCGTTCACAGAGCTATACAGATCTAAAGCAATTCTATTTAGAATTCATTTGGGGAAATTAGAACAAACTATAGGCGCGGCGGACGTAAAACACGTAAACATTCATAAGACATTGATTTATATAGAATTTAGTTACGAAAGAAGAACAAGCATAGAGTAACCCCCAACTTTATTATTATTATTATTAATTTATTCAGAGAATTCTAAGACTAAAGCAGTGGCATCTAAGACTAACGGCTTTACTGAAAAATCTATCGCACTTGAGATTTCAACCCACGACCACTGGAGTTGCTAGTCGAGATTCTTGTGTAGTTGCCCACCCAGGCGGATCGATCCCCAACATTATTAAGGCCCAAAACAAAGAACTTTGTGTTCAACTTTGGCGTTTTTTACTGATCAAAGGGAAGCTTTGGTTGTTGATTTGCTGAATAACAAAAGAAGAGGAAGAATTGATTTACTTCAGTGCATTGTAATGCACTCATAGTGCGAATTCTATAAAAGCGCCATCCATTCCTCAAACACAACTTATCGTATGCATAAGGTATACTTTTGTTCTGTTCCATATGCCCAATGGTCTAAACTTTCTTTTATTTTTTTTTAATTTTTCTTTAATTTTCGTTATTTACCATATGTTTACAGTTTGAAATTAATCGCTTGATGATATATGAATGCAATGCGAAACCCAGGGATTTCAACTGAAATTATTTAACGAAATTAATTACGTCAATGAGATCATTCTCAATTTAAACGCACTATTACACTAATGTTTATTAATTAGTTTACTTATCTGAATATTAAGTATAGGGAAAATTTCGTGGCGCTATCTCAACAAAATTCAAATATATTTTAAATAACTGTTTGTCACTTCATTGGCAAGACCGTACTATTTATACTATTATTAGCTTGTGATTTTTACAAACCTCTTGTGAGAAGTCAGCTTTACACACCTAAGGAAGTTCTAGAGAGCTCGGAAGAACGATCGAAGATTACGGTTACACGATAGGTGCTTCGAAATTTTCAAGCTAAACACTCTTAACTTGCTGCTAGTCAACAAAAGGTGAAATCAATTTTCACTTGAGCCTGTTACAGCAGCTCCTGATGAGCGATTCTTTTTGTACGTTGTATCAGCAACTATTCACAGTCAGAAACTCGATCAATTAAGTTTCTTATTTTTAGGTGAGCAGTCATCCAAATATCGATCTTCTTTCAATATATATATCCAATAATAGGGAAGTAAGGGAAGGAATTTTGCTGGTCTTTCTCAATTTGTTTAATAAATTTCATTGATTTTATTATCAATGGTTGGTTAACCAAAGTCCGCTGCGTGTTTCATATCCCAAAAATGTTGTGTTGCTGACCTTATAGAAAATCGAGTATTTTCCAAATTTTGGGTCACCGACAGGCTGACTTAACGAACGTCACAATGCGAGTACATGGATTGCCACCTTACAGAGGACGTCAAATAGTTAGACTAATACAATTAGTATTAACAATCTTACGGGGCTTTCAAGCCATCTGTTGGGAAAAATGCTATGTAGTTTTTCCTTTGCCTCATGTCCAAGACCTTAGGCCTAACAAAATTAACGCAGAGGGGTAGTTACGCCAAACGGATATATTAATGTGTCTCGTGTTAATAGATTCTATATTCTCTTGTTAAAGAATCTTTAGCAAGCCTTTGATGAATGTTCAGTTTATACATATAAGATTTACTACAACTTCGGATATCATTATTGTTGATTTAGCCAGAGAATAAAATCTACGACTAAAGTCTTAAAAGACTACCGTCTAAGGCTAACGGCTTTACTGAAAACCCTAACACACATGAGATTTGAACTAACATAACTATTTAGTTGTTAGTCGAGACTCTTTGCCTACTCGCTCTGCTCAGGCGGATGTAATAATAATAAAGATATAGTCGAATGCAAAAGCCTTTCCATGTCAGCACTCCTCCTCAGGCTTGACCTGAATAACGTGTAAAAATGACATTCTAGAGATTTGTAAACTGAAAGCAATTTTAATATTCCCGATATTTTTTGATCGCAGCTTAAATGAAAAAATAAAGTAAAACGTATAGAGTTTAAAAAATAATTCCTAATAATAAACATTAATTAACCTCTAACGCCTAAGGGCTATAATTTACATATGAACATTTTTCCAAGTTTTTCAAAAATGATCGCTAAATTAATATTCTGCCATTTCTCAGTATAATTGGCGTAAAGGAGAAGACCAATAAAAGCTCAATAATTTTGTAAAAAATCAATTAAAATTCGTGGCTTTATTTAGTATAGAATTGTTTCTGGTTACGGGGTTACCTTTGTGCATTTTATTGAATTACTCACTTCGTAAGATACCTAAATGTAAGTGTAGAGCAAAACAAAAATTCTTTGAAAAGAGAATCGCAAAATCATTGAAGAAGCAATAAATGCCTGTTTCTTGATTAAAAAAAAAAAAAAAAAAAAAACAAAAAAGCAAAAAACAGAGCAAAAGAAAACAGAGACAAAGTATTTAAAGTTGATAACAAAATCAAACAACTTTTTCTAAGTAAATATTCATATATGAGAAGACATATTTACATACATACATATATGTATATATATATATATATGTATATTGAAATAAAAAGCGAAAATAGCCGTAAAAAAATAAAAAAAAAAAGGAAAAATCACTCATCAAATTTTATATATATACATATACATATTAAAATCAATTTCAAGCGTCCTTCAAGCAAGACTTATCTCATGCTCTGTCTGCTCGCTCTCCAGCCGTAATTGCTTAAAAATTTTTCGCTTACAATCAGTAAGATTTGCTTTGTTAGACAGTGCGGTACAATAAAACGCTTAAATAATATGCGATACTCTGTAGTGTTCTCCTTACTACTCTTAATACTCGGCTTAAGCTGGGCCCAGAATAAGGGAAGTCCAACCGGTTCTACCACTTCGATTGGACCGCAAAAACATTTAGTTTGTTATTATGATTCTTCAAGTTTCGTTAAGGAGGGTAAGTAAGAAAAGCATTCGATATCCAAAGCAAATTGAAATCAAGTGAAAAGATTATGCAATTTATAAAAATTCGAAGAATAAATACATGTAAAAAAATATATGTATCTGTGAAGTGATAAGAAAGTGTAGAAAATGTCAAGAAACCAAGGCTTAATTTTTCTTGCTTTTTTCTTCTTTTTACAAAAGGTCTTGGAAAGATGGTCATCGATGACTTGGAGCCAGCTTTACAATTTTGTACCTATTTGGTGTATGGCTATGCCGGCATTGAGCGTGACTCCTACAAAGCTGTAAGCATGAATCAAAATCTTGATTTAGACTTGGGCAAGGGCTTGTATCGTTCAGTAACTCGTCTAAAACGTAAATATCCTCATTTGAAAGTGTTGTTAAGTGTCGGCGGTGATAAGGACATTGAAACTGGCGAGGATGCCAAAGATTTACCAAACAAATATTTGGAATTATTGGAAAATCCTACCGGTCGCATGCGTTTCATAAATACAGCGTATGCTTTAGTAAAGACATACGGTTTCGATGGTCTAGATGTCGCCTGGCAATTTAATAAGAATAAACCGAAAAAAGTGCATAGCGGCTTAGGTAGTCTGTGGAAAGGTTTTAAAAAGACTTTCACTGGCGATTATATTGTCGATGAAAATGCCGAAACTCATAAGGAACAATACACAGCCTTGATGAGAGAATTGAAAAATGAATTCCGTCCGGAGAATCTCTTGTTATCGGCCACCGTCCTACCCAACGTGAATTCTTCGTGTAAGTAAAAGAAGAAATATGTTTACAAACTCGAATAAAATCGCTATTCAATCTCATGCCATTATTAGTGTTCTACGACGTGCCCTCTGTAATGAATTACGTGGATTTTGTAAATTTGGCCGCTTTCGATTTTTACACGCCTGAGCGTAATCCCGAATTAGCCGATTTGCCGGCACCTTTGTATCCGCTACCCGACCGAAATCCCGAATTCAATGTCGACTATCAAGTTCAATATTGGTTACGTCAGGGTTGCCCCGCGAACAAGCTCAATGTAGGTGTTCCCACTTATGGACGTCCTTGGAAAATGACAGATGATTCGGGCCTAACCGGTGTACCGCCCGTACCCAAAGTAGAAAATGAAGCTCCTCAAGGCCCAAATACTCTTATCCCGGGCTTATATAGCTGGCAAGAAGTGTGCTCCCTTTTACCGAATACCAATAATATGTATTCGAAAGGAGCTGATGCCCCGCTAGCGAAAGTTTTGGATCCTCAAAAGAAGAGCGGTGTGTATGCTTATCGTGTAGCGGATAAAAAAGGCAAAAATGGTATTTGGGTGGGTTATGAAGATCCCGATACAGGCGCGGAAAAAGCTGGCTATGTGAAAACTTTGAATTTGGGCGGTATAGCTCTCTACGATTTATCTTTCGATGATTTCCGTGGTCTATGTACGGGTGATAAATATCCCATTTTACGTGCCATTAAATATCGTTTGGTCAACTAATCGATACATTTTTTGCTTTTAATATTTTCATGATAATATAAAATTAATTCTAAAATAAATGTGAATTGTGTTGCGTGAAAAAAGTCATAGTGTGTTTGCTAAACAATAACACAACAATAACGGTCGTGGTAGAAAAATCAATAATAAATTTAGCGTGTAAGGCTGTGTGAGAAGGATTTCACACTTTCACAAAAGGATATCCTGTAAACAAAATTACCGCTTCACTGCGCAAAGCTTTTTATTTCAAAATATTTAAAAACATTTATTATAAAGCTTAACGTTTAATAAATTAAACCTTGGAAAGCAATTAAAGTATGTAAAGTGTACAACAAAAACAACAAAGATAAAAGTTGTTAAAAGGTGTTTCAAATTTGCATGGACGATATTTAAATTATATAATTAACTTTTGTGTTTATATAATTGATAAAAAAAAGAGTCTATTTTCACGAAAGCCTCACTTTTCTATTCGCTTTTTTTCTCGGAGGTTATGTTGACTTTTCATTTCGCTTTCCTAGGAGATGTATCAGCCCGTAAAAGCTGGCTTTTCTTCTCACGGAACAGGAAATGATTTTAAATAGTTTATAAGTTTTATAAAATCTCTTACAGATGCAGTTGTTTCAATCGCTCCGACGCGACGACAATCGAATGCCTGAAGAAAAATTTCGAGGATAACACAAAAAGTTCAGGAAGAGGAGAGAATATTAAGACTGCTCGCGAAGCAGAATTCAACGTTTACACTCTCTTCCTAGGACTCAAAATATCTCACCGATCAATATTTGATCCATTTCGAGGGAATACCTGAATGAAGGAGTACAAAGAAACTTTTAAGAGCGAGTATCAAGCATCATGTAAAAGCAGTTCACGCATTACCTCAGCAAAGGATAAGGACCGCTTTTAGCTCTATCAGTTACTAATAAATAAATTTATCAGGATTGTCAACTGAATTTGGATTTTGAAGCATTAATCTGTACGTTCTGTGCCAAGGATCGATGACAATTCTTTACAAGGCAATGGTGAACTCTCTCATGCCACATTGGATCGCTGGTTTCAATTTGGTGGCGCAAAATGGCAGACCCGAAATTTAATGCCGAGGTGATGAGAACCTCTACATGCCTTAATATTATGTAAGAGTGGTAGTAGTAAAAGATTGTAAGATAGATAAGAAATAGTGAATCTAGCATAGGATAGGATAGATCAGTCTAATGTTTTTTCTTTTCTCCGCAAAGTAACGAATTGTTTGTGGAGCTTGTGATCCATTGCTTGATATTTTTGTAATTTAATTCCAACCATATCTGGCGTTATGCAATAATAATCAAAAATTTACATCACCACTTAAAACCTTTTTATTGCATGATTTTGTGGGCAGTTGCACCATTTTAATAAAAATAAGTCAAAGAGATCCGATCATTTTGGTATACCTTTTACCTTTGCCGCAGCTGTTCCCATCAATTTTTATATCTTGTCGTACATTAAATTTGTTGATATATACATATATATATATACATATATATATACATATACATACATATATATATATATATATATATATATATATATATATATATTAATATATGTTAAGGGTTTGTTTGCTCTTGTTTTCATCTGTTTTTACATCAAATTGGTTTACGTCGTTGCTTGTGTTGCATCTTTCAACAATATTTGTAAGCGAGCGACGTATTGTTTTCCATTTAACTTTCTTCATTGTGTTATTTAACATTAAATTGCAAGAAAGCAACAAAGACTTTATTTATTTATTTTTTTTGTTGCCAAAATATTTATGAGAAAACTTGTCGGCTTGTTGTTATGTTAGCCAGCAAGAAGTTTCCATTTTAAAGGCATCATATGGCGTAACAGCAAGTAATAAAACAGCAACGGTCAAGAAGCGCCATAAACACTATACGTACTTTAACGTTATGTAAATACCGGTATTATTATTAGTGTTTCTTTCACTAAAAGAAAAGGAAATAAGAGTAAAAGGCAAGAGATTACGACACAAAGTCAGAAATGGGATATGCTTTCGTAAACCAATACACAGGTAATCGTTAAACAAAGACATACTTTTGTTTTAATTGTAATTAGGGTGCTTCGAAACATCAACTTTTTGCACAAGCAGGGCTTGGAAACGAATTTATACTATTGAACTCATAAAATTATTGTTATTCAGAGCCGAAGAATGGGATCATGACCACTTTGTTGAATGAGTCTAGCAATGTCTGTCAATCTGTGCGTCTGTCTATGACAAATACTATCAGTTAAGGAATTGGCTCTCAATTTGATGAAAATATTTGAAATCTTTGAACCTAGGTTGAGATTGAAAATGAACTTAATCGATCGAAGGGTACATTCAGAATTGAGAACACTTCTGTTCCCGATGACAAAATGGATTACTTTTGTTCGTTCGCTACTAATAAAGTACGACAGACAAAACGTCGCCAAGTTCTCCGTACATTTTATGGGTGATCGTATAATAAATTTACGAAAATGAAAAGGTCGGGCGCGCTCATCCAATTTTCGTTCTTTGTTACTGCAGCGTTTCGCACACAACAGCTCAGTCCATCACTTTCAATACAAGCAGTATGCTGATATCAACCTTGGGTGCGTGTTCAGTTCTACCCAAGTGACTCAAAATCGTCTTTTGACAATCATTTACTTCTACACTGATACTGCAAGTTGAATATTTCCGGTCTACCTCAACTTTTTGAATGAGTTTCAGAATTTTATCAATGATAGGTTTCCAGAGTGCAAACCGGAAAAAGTGAACCATTTACGCGTTCATTATTTTGATGAAGACTTTTCACACAAAAAACTATGAACGGTTTTATAAAGCCTATGAAGTCTAATCGCATTGGTCTCAGATCATATTTGAAAATTTTTCTTGTTTGTCAGAACTCAGTTGCTTCGACTAAATTAACAAATGTTGCAGAGTTTTTTTTACGTAATTTTTTTAATGTGTCCGAAATGACATCACTTTAAAACCTCATATTGGTAAAAGTGCTACGAAGTTTTTTCTTCTTAATATGATGGCGACTGCAAACGACATTATAAAGAAAGTTGTGAAGAAAGCACGATACGAGGAAGGTTTTTGAGAAATAAAATTGAAATCCTTTTTATTATTCTTTTTTCAAAGCTAATCCATATAATTCTATAAAATTTTAAATGCAAATTATATTTTCGGACAAAAAGGAATTTATTGCAAATTACACTTTCGCGGCCCAGAGATCTTGCTCACAGATCTAAAAATTAGAAAATCCATGCTACATTGGATATCGATGGTAAACTGTCTTTGTTTAAATTGCACCCTATATATCTATATAAATACACACTATATGTAAAAAGAGCTTTAAACGTTATATAGAACAAGGATAATTTATTCATTAAAAATTTCTTGTTTATCGTTGTATTCAAGGCGGGTGTTATTGTTTACAATACAATTACTTGCATGCACTTCAATATCTTTAGCTATCGAGGTTCGCTTAATTGAAGTTAACTTTTAAAAGAAAATTGAGGTAAAACATTTTTTATTTAATAATGAAATTATTGCAAGAAAAACTTTATGCATGAAATGTGGTCATCCAATGAGCATCAAGTTTTAGTTGATTATTTCATTTGTTTGCTTCTGGTTAAAAAACCTGCAACTGATGCTGCTGCTAAACACCAATGTTTGTGCATCCGTTTTATATCCGTTTTCCGTGCGCAGGAGATTCATGGTACAATAGAATAAAACATGTGCATATGTTTGTGTGTAAAAAACCAAGATAGGGGAACGCTAATGATTATTTAACTGAATTATAATAGCAAAACACATTTTCCTCTTTTCAATGAAAAGTTTATTTTGATTTTCTGTGGATTACTAGAAAGGCTTGCGTAGATATTATATACCTACTATATAAGCGATTGAAAACAAATGCAAAGATACTTTTAGGCAAATTTTAATTTATTTTCCCAATTAAACGAATTTCTTTCGTTACTTACCTTATGGCGTTTTTTCTCTCTTTCAGGTACTGCATGCCAATTAAATTGCAAACTCCAATCGAAGCCACCAACATTCACACCACCCGAATCATGATAGTGATATTCCAAGGTAGTATCGTCTATAACATCGATTACAGGACACACAACAGTAGTGGAATTTCTGGCAATGCGATCCAGTAAAGGCTCCAGCCAACCTACCAAACAGTAGGAGATTTGAATACATATACAAAGAATAGATTTTAACTGTCTATCTACTAAATTGCAGAGTACACTGTTCCAAAATTTAATTAGTAGTCTCAGTATGTTATATCAATTGCATATCGGTGTGTAATAAGTACTGTTATTCTCTTTGGCAGAATTTCACTTTTCCATTTATCCGTCTATCTATTACTAAAATTCCCAATGTCCTCATATCCTGGTGAAGCGAACACTGCATGAGTATTTAGCTTATATTTTGAGAATTTGTTTCTTTCTTTGGATTTAAATGAATTCCTTCACCTACAGCAAATTCACATGACGGAGAGCACTTGACGATTATCTACCTTGAAAGAACTTCTCATAAAGGTATATGATACGTTCCCTGCTAAGCAGGATTAGGTTTTGGCGCATGCCAAAAAAATTGAGTAGTTACGTCACGTGTACCGGCCTCGATGCATACCTCAAAGGGTATTGTAAACATATCCACATGGCAACAAAACAGTAATCGAACTAAAATCGTCCACGTAGCCTCCAAATAGATTTTGCCGTGTACTGAAAACGGTACACGTGAAAGTGAAAGCGTTAGTAACAAGTAAGTTGCCAGCATGTTTCACTTGAAAATCTTTTTCTGGGAAATGCTACGTGAGACTCTGCGTTTCCCTTTGCTTTTTTTTTTGCGATTATACATCGGTACTTCTATTTTAAATTTTATGCACTTTACCAAGTACTGACAACGGTACACGTGAAAGTGAAGGCGTTAATAGCAAGTGAACTGCACTATCAATTTCCAGTACGTTTCACTTGGACATTCTTTGCTGGACAATGGTAAGTGATACTCCGTGGATAAGTTTTTCTTTGCTTTTCTTTGAGATTATAACGGGACTTCCATTTTAATTTGTTTCGCTATTTCAAGATCATAAACTTTTTATTAATCATTTATAACTGCAGTCTTTCAGTTTTTTATTGAAATTTGCCTTTGGTGCCAGCAACTTTTCCCTTTGCCAGCAATGGGAATTTACTGATTAAAATATCCCTTTTTCATGACACCTTACCAATGCTATTTAGCCTTTTGTGAGGCAAGCAAATGAGTTCAGCTTGAGTGGACATGGGAACTATGTGAAAATCGTTAATCGCACTGCTCTAACTCTAGCTCTAGCTTTATGTTAAAGACACTTCTTTATAAATTGCAATTAATTATATGATTGTTATTTTTCAAAGTGGTATGAGTCCATTGTTTCATCTATCGAGGATTCGCATTTTAATTAGTTCAAAAATAGTGGCAAACTTTAATCGGTTCCAGTGGGGTTTCTAACAATTGAATGCAATTTTATTTCTTTAATCCTTTGGTTTTCTGCTCTAATAATAATTACATGTAAATAATACTCACGCTTCAAGATCTATCAGTGTAAGGAAAGCAAACCCAAGTGCAGGACGAAGCAAAATCAATGAAGTTATTGCTTACCACTTGATCTTGTTAACGAGACTAAGACTGGGTAAGTAGTATGTGCTAAAGTGCGGTGTACACGGAAGTCGTAGTAATCAATAATAAATGACATATTTATTGGGTGTAGACTTGTTCCACTTTTAAAATAAAAAAAAATTTTTTTCCGATAATATTTTATACCAACAAGTTTTTTCTCCATCAGACCATATCTATATATGGAGAAAGAGAGAAGGTGTCTATGTCTTATAAAAATTATCATTAAATCATTTTTTTTAAAAGTGGACTTGTACCGTTTTCAAAAATAACAACTCATGTAATTATCGAGACGTTGGGGTAGATCAGCTCATTATACGTAGCATTCAGCTTTGCCGTTAATAATGTGCAGTAATGTGAATAATTCACTTGTTCTACATCATGCTTTGGTTACTACAGTCCGTCCACTTTTTATCATCCGTCATGACTCAGCAACTTTCGTTTCCGAATTAGGTAAAGATATTTTTATAGCCTCAAAGAAAAAAAAAAAAACTGCGTTGTGCTTACATAGTTTTATTTAGCTGCGTTTAGTAGACATCAGTGGAATTATGACGATTGGGGCCTTATATCAATTAATTGGTCATTAGAGATACTTTAGTATAAACATAAAGATTATTTATCTTGCTCAGTGAAGAAAATGCACTGTAAGCATAACTCTTTTCATTTATTTAGTATTTCGAATGATTCATTATATGCGTTGAGGTATAGTCATTAATTTATTTATTAACTAAATAATGCTCATCCTTAACTGATCCTGATCTGATGTGATTACGATTACAAGTCTTATAATCAATAAGAGGAGGTTAATCTTATTTAAAAAGAATGTGTCTGCCTAGAGCTGCTTATTTAACCGTAAAAGAATAACAATTGCTCTTCAACCGCACCGAATCGATTAGTCAGATAAATCGAATGTAATCAAGATGAAAGAATAGAAGTGCATACCATATATATAAAGGTAAAAAAAAAAATTCAAAAAAAAAATCTTAAATTAAACTCGACCTTATGGGAAAATAAATCGCTAACCACAAAAACAGCGTTTGTTGTTAACTTACCTTCGGTGCATTCACAATGTGAATCTAAATATGTTAAAACCGGTGATTTGGCATGACGTGCACCGAGTAGTCTAGCTCGTATTAAACCTTCACGCTTTGTTGCACGTAAGATCTGTACTTTAGGATAGGCAGAAAAATAATCGTCCAACTGTTTCTTTGTATGAGCTGCGTCCCGTTCACGATGACAACAAAGCAAGCAAAGACAAAAACAAAATAAATATATATATATATATATATATATAAATGTGTATATATGTATAGAAAGAGATAAAGTTACATTGAAACGAAAATAACAATAACCAGAAACATACGATAACACTTAACTGATAAATATAAAACACGTGCAACAATCAATCATTATAAATACAGGCGAACCTTTTTTTAAGCGATATCTCTTAAGGTCAGCGCAAAAGCACATTTCAAACACATATCCCGATTAGGGCAAGATTCTGATCTCATTTAACCTTATTCGCCCTTTCGTCGCCTGTTATTGGCGGGGTCAGGGCAGAAAACAATCATCTGCTTTCAGCGGATGAAATCTAAAAGGAATTCTGGCCCCGGCGTATACAGATAACTCTCTTCAATTTTTCACGCCGCAGTAATCGTTAATTAAATTTTTTTTGCAAAGGATTGAAACCAAGCGCTTACTTTTCGCAAATACTTTCGTTCTTCTTTCAGATGCAAAAGTATGTGTAATACGCGCACAGAGAGAGATCAATCCCAACCTAAGCCTGTACATATCACCGTAGGAGGTTTTGATAATAACAGCCGTTCTAGGTAAATTAAGCAACCAACTTGTGTCCGTCTGACGGCGACCGTTGAACGCTTAAGTCGCCAAGCCAAAGTCTTGAATATTAAGGCGAAAATATATCATTAAATGTGGGCGTGGTTTATCGATCCATTTTATTGTTCACTAAGAAATATTCTCACTGTATTTTAGATCAATTTCTCTTAGACAATCTAATTGATAAGTTTTCCTGTATTTTTTATAGATGAATCGCACTTATTTTTACACTCTATCCCGTAGCAAAGTATAATTTTTGGTTTTTTATTACGAGAATAAATTAAAAGTTGTACTAGGCGAAGTGGCGTTGTATATCTAACTGTCGATCTTATTTGACCTCAATCTTCTTACTTGTTTCTATGTCGAGTTTGGCCTTCGCAAATGTATTTATCGATTTTCAGATCAATCGATGACGGTATGTGAGAGATTTTTGCTTCAAATCAGTTCAACTCAACTCGATTCAATTTGTATTTCATTTAATTCAAATCAATTTAATTTGAAGCAATTTAATCTCCAGACACCCTTGGCTACATATGTAGACTAATTTGTGGAATTGTAATCATTATCGTTAATAATAAGTAAGAAAATTATATACGGCCGTGAACGAACCCTTTATGCCCATCATCGTTTAATATTGATTAGTAATATGTAGACTTAACATAGTCACTGAAGCTTTTTTTTGGATACTAAAGAATAATTTAATAAACGATTGACCGATTTTTCCCAGATGTGTACAGTCGTAGAATATAAATGTGAATTTTATTGTATCTGTTGTGGTTTACACATAACGGGGAAAAATTTTTTTTTTTTTTTTTTGCGAAAACAGAGGTGGTCTCAGGTTGTGTAGTACTGTGGTCGTCTCCTTTCACCGATTTGGATCTGATTTTTAGGCAGTACCCCCATCAATAAACGAAGTGTATCGAAAATTCATGACCTCCCGTTTACAAGTTACAGTTGCAGGCATTTTAGTGATTCTACACACGAAATTTAGATTTTGAGATAGGGGGCCCTAAAGCAATTGTTACTCGCATCTAAAAATCATATCGATTCGACAATAGCCGTCGAACTTATAGAATGATGCGTCATATGCCAAGTTGAAAGAAGATGAACGTACGAAAGGCATAGAGAAACGCAGTCGCAGATCATATCAACGCAGAATCTTACTCTTATCAAAGTTTGTGATGCAAGCTGAACAACTTCTCTCTCATCTCTTCAGTGCTCTTTGTAGCTTTTCGAGCCTTTTGTGTGTTTCAAAAGATATTTAAGCATTCCACGCGCAACTGTTTCAATTACATTAGTTACGTTCAATTGATTCTCATCTAATCAATCGTCGTAGTCATATTCGTTTACATAGCGAAAAAATTTTGCTTTAGATGGATGCAATGCATTTGCTTCAATAGTCCGAAAATTATTATTACATTTGATTTTCACTTATGTTCATTATTTGATGCTGCAAAGCTTTGCAGCAGAATTTTGTATTTAACCAATTAACTGCGTACGACGTAGATAAGTGTCGTCCACACAAAATAAATGATGTAAATACCCTACACTACCCTACAGCTATTCACATAACGACATTTCAAAACGCCATTCTCAACAGTGTTTTTTCTTCGGCCAAAACACATCAGTGTATGACATTTCATCAATATATCTTAAAGAAAGCAAAGCAGACACGGGAGGACAAGCTTAGATTGATTCAGAATCACTTTCCAAATCAATCGGTGTAATGAAAAGTCTCAATCCTTTCCGGTATTGCATACATTCGGACAAACTTAATACACCCCAAATTGTATAGGGTATAATTACAATTCTATATAAAACTTGAAAGATGTAATACATTATTTAGTGATATGTTTCCTTTATAAAACCAGTATGCTTGCTATGCAGCATTAAGGGCTGAGAAATATTTAAAAATATATTACGCAGGTAACCGGTTAAGCTCTTTAGTTCACTTAATAGCTAAGGTTATGTCCGTGATTAAAATTATTGTATTATTGTATAACGATATCATAAGTCAATAAAGAAGATAGTGGAAGAAAATCGCTTAAAAAGATGAGCTTAAGCCCGCTTATAAAAGGGTTTTCCTGTAGATATCTGCACATGATACGCATTCGTATATTTGTGGATAATTTGTATGCTTTACCAGTACTTTGTTTTTTTTTTTTCCGTCTCTTTTTTTTTTTTTTTTGATAGTTTTGCTCTGGTAAACAAATGCATACGATATACGCTATGTTATGTGTTTGCTTATATGAATATATGTGTGCATACGTACGCATATCGGAATAGTCATCTACGAGTATTATTTTGCCTATTAAATGTTCGGGTGAACGATCAAGGACGGAGTGTACTGTACGTAATAGTACAGACCAGGCTTCATTGTGAAAACAAATTATTACATCAGTGGCAGGCAGGCTATCTAAATACCGTCCCGGTTCTTTGCACCTGTTGTTAATTACATGAAGATACATATAATTAATTAAGAGGAAAGAAAATAAATTCGTTAACTTACCAGGAGTCACGGGGATCAGGTAAAGTCCTATGTATTGATATCATATCGGAAACATATTGATTAAAAGCATTTCTAGTCCAACCATCATCGACTGCTTTCTTCATTTCCTCTGTCATATTCGTGGGCAATATAACTGGTTTACCCATTTCGCCTGGCGAATTTGGCGCAGGAGCTGGCGGAGCCAAAACACCTTTACCTGGGAACACAAAAATTACACATATTTGTATATTAATAAAAAAAAAAAACAAAAAAAAAACAAAAGAAAGACGAAGAAGAAGAAGAAAAGAGGGAAAAGCATCGAAAGAAAGACTTGTTAAAATAGAGTTTAGTTTATTAAAGCCAGAAACAAATTAAAAGCCAAACGCTAGCTTTAGTAAAAAGTTGATATTCTCTTGCGTAGGATTACATCGAGATTGCTTTGCTGATGCAACGTTGCAAAACCAATTTGGTTGAACTACTTTTCGCCGCAATATGTATTTACCAGACCATCAAGATACTTGAACAAAAGGTAAAAAACAAAAAAAAAAAAAAAAACTCCGTCTATTTGGTTTAAAAAGTTAACTATTGTAAACCACACACAAATCAACAAAATATAAGCCGCCAGCATTTACACTGAAAAAAAAAAAAAAAAACAAAGCAAAAAAACAAAACAAAAGAAAAACGGCCCAAATCAACATGAAGGCAAATATTGACTAACGAGAAGAACTCAACTATTGTTCCTTGAGGTTGGTTAGTTAAGTAAGTAAAGGAAGAAAATCATATTGGAAACGATTATTGCATCCATTTAACAGGCATTGGTAGCTATAAGCTGTAAAATCATTATCACCCATAAATCGTAAAAGCGTTCAACATTAGCAGTAAGAACCTAATTGATAGTTACGGATAAACCAGACTTGAACAGACAATAAAGCCAGAAACATACGCAAAGGGCAAAATGGCAAATAAACAAAAGAGAGAATAATCAGATTAAGCAAACTACTCCTAATAAGGTGTTCTCCGTTCTATGAATATATTTGTTTCATACTCGCCATCAGGGAGCGGAAAAGACCAACGTTTTCTTTTCCCAATACTGAGAAAAACTTGATAATAATAAGTATAATAATCATCTGACTATTATTGACTTCCTTTTAAGAAGTAATTGTAGCTTGGCTTCTATACTTTCAAGATCAAGTCCATCGGCAATCGGATGTAATTATACCATTAATGAACCATTGAAAAAAGAAGAGCTAGAAAAAAATGATAGTCGTGTTGATACGAATCTTTCATTGTCGCTATCTTGAATCAATTTCCTAGAAATGCTAAGCCCTTTCTTTGTTTGCCCTGCTCCATAAGGGCTTGAACCAGAAGGGATTGAGACAAGTCCAACTTTTGTTTATTCTTTTCCTGAATCGATTGAAACGCGTCCATCCTTGTTGGACAGGCAGATATTTTCAATTCATTTTAATGGAAGTTGTTTCACGAAAACGAAAACAATATTTGTTTTTTTAAAATTCTTCGATAAAAATCAGCTAACAATAGTCCCAATATAGATGGTCTTGCGGCCCGAATAGGATTTCTTGCAAAACGCCTTTGCATGGCAGGAAGATGTAACTTGTAGTAGCTTGTAATGGTTGGATTACAAAATGGCGTTTTGCCAAGTAAAATTAATGCAGTAAATTTGGACTACGTCGGTCTATTTTTCAAATTCTTACATATATAATGACAAGCATGGCTTTAAAAGACATGCAATATTAAGGATAATTTTTCATATGATAATTTTGATAAGCGAAAAGTAACATTAGACATAATGATGTAGGGTATTCAATAGTTGAACTTGCCACTCGGATGGTAATCCAGTAAATATGCATAATTTAAATTTAAGAGCTGCGTATAGCACAGCAAAAAGCCATATAGTATGAAATCTTTGGAGGCCACGGAGATTACGTAATCCAAGAAGAATTGCATATTTCTTCCGCATAACCGATTGCAGTTGTATTGCGTGTAAATTGTCTACACAGAATATTTCTTTTCTGATCGCTAGAAATGCGTTTTCAAGAAGTTTCCTGATGCCTATGTCGTGGGGGAATTAATTGGGAAAGTATCGGAAGGGGGCTCGCCTTGTGCGAAAAGTAAAAATTATGAAAATCTTGCGAAATATCTCTAGTAGCACCCGAACGCGTGCTACAAATTGTAACTTCTCGCTTTTGTTCCTTCTTGGGCTAGCAATGACTATTTTCAAACTCTTGCTTTATGGTATTCATATCTCAAGTTGAACGATTGCGAGATCATAAGATCGGGCGAAGAGATGGATAATGTTATGGAAACTCTAATGGGTACGTAAGAGCATTACACACGCAAGAGCATATCTAGTATTTTTGCCTTAATCGATGACTTCATACCGGAATAAGAAAAACTATGCGAAAAGGAATTAAATTAAAATTAATTCCTTTGTATGTATTTGCTCCGAATGTAAAATATTTCTTACATTTTGTATATATCCGCCTGAGTGGCCGAGCAAGTTAAGTATCTCGACTAACAACTCACTGCACTCACTGAGTTCAAAGCTCGAGTGCGGTAAAGTTTTTTTAATAGAGCCGATGACCTTAGACGCGAATATCTTAAGACTTTAGACTTTGAATTTATTTCTCTCACCAAATTATTTATAATATTTTTTGATCAGAATGTTTCTTGCGTATGTAAATTGTTGCTATTACCGCTTAGTGGTTTATCTACAATTAATATAAACGCGAAGAATGTGTTGCTTATAATTGACCCAGTTAATGAATATATACAAGATTCGCTTCAAGGTGAATATCGCTATTTCACTTTTCTATTTCTATGTCAAAGTGAAGTTCAAAGCCTGCGAGTTTCAAATACAAACAAATTTCATTTAAGTTTGCACTTAAGTAAATCAGCCACCATCTACATTACCGTAAGTTAAAGTGGTTTGTTTAGGTTCATTTGGTTTGGTTTTTCTTGATACACTCGCCATTTAGAAACAGGCGGTTTCATTGTCAAACTGTAATGGCAGTGGCGCTTTGTCATACAATGACCGCACAATATATAATTACATTGCCTTGTCTATATGTCTATGTATATAACATACATACATACATATATATGATCAAATGTATTTGAATTGCAATGCTTGTGTACCACGTTTTCTATCTCATAGGAAATCAATGGCAAGAGTATAGTATTGAAGGCATAGGCAGATTGTTGGTGTTGGCCTAATTTCCGATTGTTCTAATGATCCATATTAAATCTCTACAAAGCCCACATATGCTCATAGACACTTAAATATTCTTGTTGTATGTGCTAGCTAGCAAGTAAATATGTGTATATAGGCCTTCCCGTATGAATGTGGTTTTGTGCACATATCTGTGCATATTACTTCGTTCAAAGTATTGGTTGTATTTAATCATTATACCTCAGTGCTGTTTAGCTACGATTGGCAAAATATTGCATTTGAGTTATGTGTGAAACTGTGGTATTTTTCCATTTCGGTTTGTTAACCTAAGGCGACAAACAGAGAAACCTATATACCTATATACATATATGTATATATATATATTGCGAAGAAAATAAATTTCATGGATTATATCAAATTTTGATGTTATTTACATATTTTTTTTAATCGTTCAATCAATTTCAGTAAACCAGTGTGTAACTACAACGCTAATCACCTCTACATTTTCCAGACTATTCGGTGTCTTTTCGGTGCAATTTTTCTGATAAGTTCATGAATTAAGTAAGATTTCTAGCTAACACTTCTTTTTTAAAGCGCTCGCAATATACGCAAAACGTAATAATCAGACGACCCTACATCGGAGATGTTTAGGAAATACAACAAAGCTATCAATCTTCAAGAATGTGACGCGGTATTGCATTGTCCATACCCCGGTTGTTCTTTCAACAATTTATAAGCTTTTGAAAGAAAAGATTAGATCATTATTCTTGACTGTCTAACTATTTTAAGCAGCGTTCGAGTAACTGATTTATTTTCTGGTTTCTTTTACTGAAAATATTAGGGTAGAGTATATTAGCGTGTACGGCGTATATAAAAATATCGATTCTACTGTAAGACACAGAAATATGCGTCATTGATGTATACTCGACTTCTAAGTAAAACCTTGTTCTATGCATGTACAATTTCGTTTTCTGGTCCATGTATTTTTATACCCTACACCACTTGCAATACAGAGTATATTAAGTTAGTGCAGACACGTGCAGCACGCAGAATGACTTACGATGGACTCACATTTTATTATACTGATCGATTCAAAGTCATAATGTGAATTGATCTAAGCCTGTCCGTCCGTCTGTCTCTCTTACTTTCTTATATTCAACCTAGAAGCCGAAATTGTTGAGATATTTCGATGAAATTTGGTACAGTGACGTGTTTTGACCTAAAGATGAACGCTGTTGAAAATGATTCGAATCGGTCCACTTTTTTGATCACTTCCTATGTAACGCCCTATTCTGGAAAGTCGTTATATGGCAAAAAATGGCAAATCTCAAAACTTCTCAGGAAAACTGGCTAAGCAGTCACTTTAAATTGGTGTGAAATCTTTAGACCAGCTGGGGCAATATTTGGATCCCCTCTCCTATAACGAAAACAGAAGTTTATATGACAAAAAAGGGCATAATTTCCGTGCTTCATAATGAAAATTATATCACAATAGTAATTTAAAATAAAAAAATTGCATCTAATTTGGACCATGTCGGCCTATTTTTGAATCCTATCCTAATAAGGATTTTCACGAAAATTGATTCTTTGTAGAGCAGAAAAGTCTACATTTTAATATGTGGTGATGGCAATGGATCTATAATAGTAATTTCATACACAGATAAGAATTGTGTTCGACTATGTGTTCTAGGGTATGTATAGGTCGGCCGTGCCCGACTATAACGTTCATACTTGTTTGATGCTACAAAGATTGCAAGAATTTTAGTGGAAAGTCGAAACTTACGGTTCTCATGTACCCAGTTTTTAGATGCAGGCCGACTCTTAAAGTTGACATCATCCTTCGCAGAACAGGTAACGTACCTTAGGATATAGTACGATTTGTATCAAATTTGATCTAAAAATTTGGGAAACGCTTGCTTAGGAAATGTAAAAGTTCGCTAATCAATCAAGCTCCTTGCAAGCTCTAAGCAGATTTCTTTTTTTATGAAAACAATCAACAGTAAATTTCTCGGATATATGCGCTGTTGCACTTCAGAGAAGAATTAGTATTAAGTTCACCGGCTCAGATAAGATTAAAAGAAATATGAAAAAAAGAAAATATGTCTCCAGAATTCGTTTTAGTCAAATGCTTAATGATAACATTCATCAATGCATAACTATGATCTCTTTCTCTCTATGTAAAGCACATATCTGACAAAGCCCAAGATACTACCGACAGAACTCATGCTATATCTAGCTGTGAAAGGCAACAACACTTTCGTAATAACTTACCATCATCTTGTTGCTGTTGCTTTTGCCGCTTATTGTCTGCTATCACTTTGCCGTGCCATATGTGATTGTCATTTGGTTGCATTTCCAACACAACGTTATTTAATACAGATTCGTCGCCTTCATTGATATCGGTATTAATATCGTCATCGTGATTTTCATTTATGGCATTCCCCCGATTCAATTCATCTACACGAGCTTGAGGCATCGGCACATCAACAACTAAGCCGTTACCATTGCTGTTATCACGATCGAAATGATTATATTGCTGCTGTTGTTTTTGTTGTTGTTGTTGCTGTTGATGATGATAATAATTATTATTAGGATTTGGGACAATATTGGCGGCATTGTGATTAACATTATTGTCGATGCCAAAATCACTGCCGGCGCCTAAAGCAAAAGCCCCGGCCATATCCATTGATCCATCAATCTGATTATCGCCGGCTATGCCCGAATTACCGGCACTGGCTAGACTTTTCAAGGACAAAGACATTGCATTCCATTTTTTGCTGGCCGTTTCTCGTCTCTTATCGTCGGTATAAATGAAAAACGCTATAAAGAACCATAAGGTGGTTAAAATTGCTAAGATTTTTACTATGGAAGTGGAACGTCTACGCCAGATGAAGGCCATTTTTCTTTCTATAAAACGAGACGATGCGTAAATTTTGTTATCAACAAACTAAGCGGAATTTGTGATATTTATGAGCACAAATTTTCTTTAAAACTTATTCATTGTCATATACTAATAATAAATGAATCGCTTCGTCCGTTTTTGTTCATTGCATTTTTCCGGTTCTATTTCACTAAAATTGTACTTTATTTGAACAAAGGATTTTGTTTGTGCGTCGGTTACGTTTTCTTCCTTGTTTGTATTTACTTTAAATTACGATATAATAGCTTTTTTGTTTCTCATATTTTCCTGGCTCTCGGGGTATTTAATTACTTAGCTTAGTTATTCGTTATTTCAGCCTCTGGCCTCTTTTAATAATGTGGTGGTGTTCCTTTCTTCTCTTCTTTTCTTCTATTTTTTTTATTTTATTTTATTTTTTATTTTTTTTGTAGTTGTTTTTGCTCTATTTACAGGATTTGTACATCTATTGTATCCGGCTGTAGATTTGTATGCTTTTCAGCTTTTATTTTTACTTTGAATATTTTGTGACTGCAATTGTATGCGCTTTTGGTCGCGTGTTGCTTTTGTTGTAAATTGTGCCTTGAGATTTGTGCGCTTTAATTTTTAATTGTTTTGTTTGTTTTACTTAAATTATTTATAAAGTCTCGGCTACTGGTTAATGCTATTGCTCTTGCGTTGTCGCTTGATTGTTGTTGCGATGGTGACAGTGCTATATTCACCGGAGGACAAATTGCATGGTCAATTCCTTTATGTGATAATTATGAAAAAATCCTGCGGAAAAATAGGAAAAAAACAAAAGCAAAATTTAATTAAATTAATATAATTAAATAAATTGTTCAATTAATTAAATTTGATTAAATTATTCACATTTTCATTCACATATTTTAAAATTGTTTTAATCCATGGGATATGTTACTGTTTATCACTAGTTGACGTAATCATTTTTCAAATTTTCAATTGTTTTTATACCCACCGTCAACTGTTATTTTACCCATCATTGTAAGACAACGTTAAACTCATTTTATTTTTTCCCATAATGTTCGTAACACCCAAGAGGAAATTTCAGAGATCCCATTAAGTATACATTTATTCTTGATCAGTGTGAAATTTCGAGCTGATTTGGCCATGTCTGTCCGTTTGATAGTTTGTGTGTTATTGGCACTCTGCTGATCGCAAAAATGAAAATATCGACTTCAAATTTGATAGAAACATTGGAAGTTTCTGCACGCAATTATTATTATTAAAAATGGGCCAAATTGGTCAGAGCAGAATTGCGAAATGGAACGTAACCTCGTTTTCTTAATAAAAATGTTTGGATTTAAATAAAATAACTTGAAGAGTAGAATGCGTAAAACATAGGGGTGGGTATGCGAGTTTCAGCCCCCACCAATTATAATTTCAGTTTTCCATAAAATACCTGAAGTTTTCTTTATAACAACACCACCCTACGAGAGGGAAAAGTACCAGAAATTCACGAAATTAATTGAAATTATTTCTTTATTTCGAGAGGGAGGCTAGAAAAACTCACAATTTTTTTTAAATTACCAAATTCACACCTACGATCAGAAAGTACCGGGAATCTGTCATTAATACAAGTCTACTGAATATTGATTGGAGTATTTCTTGTGTTAGTGCATTTCGATTCGGAAAAACATCGTCAATTTGTTCTTTAAACCAAGAGTGCCCAAATAATTTCATTGTCATATTATTCCAATATTGTTTTATATTCTATCATTAAAATATACTTAATTATACAAGGTCACTAGAGAGTAGTCTCGTTTCATTTCGATTATGTAAACAATTCGCTTTTGAACCGCATGATCAAGAAGTAGTGGAATTTTTAATAATTGGGACGATTTTTTGTTTATTTCTATCTATTTCTGGTCTTATTTCCGGTGACACGATAAAAATTACTCAGATAGACAAGTGCGTTACGCGGGAATCTACTGGCCTTTCTACTTATATTTATGGTTAGCACTTCCGGTGTAAAATAAGGAAATCTAGAATTTGTCATTGAAAGTAGACATAGCCCAAATTAAAATTTTAATCTTAAATGAATTCATTCAGACTAAACATAATTGAAGAATCCACCTCCTAGCAAACCCAACTTTATCTCTAGAGATAAAGTGTAGACTAAAGTGTAGACCTACAGCTATACAAAATACTTTTCGCAACACAACTAAAAAGTTTTTTTTTTTATGCGGTGAATAGAAACCGCATTAACGCACAAAAAAAGGGCCACATAAAAACAGATTTGAGGGTACGGTGTATAGTGACAACATCCTCACAACTTTTTTTCAGATAATATTTCCATTATTGCGATAAGTAAAAATATAAAGGGCGTGAAGTTATATTTAAATTTAACTAGCAAAGACACATACCAAGAACTTTTGTTTGTGGGTAGAACAAATTTTCAAAGTGTCAAAAAAAATTTTTCCCAAGGAATCTTTATAAATGTGATACACCGTTGGAATGGTCATTGATCAAGGATTCACGTGATATTAGTTTCATTTGTTCGCCGCACTAGGTTTGGCCACAGTGACTTATCGAACGAAGCCCCCATATTAGTTCATGTAGAACAAATTTTCAAAGTATCATAAAAAATTTTTCCCAAGGAATCTTTATAAATATGATATACCTTTGGAATGGTCAATGATCAAGGATTCACGTGATATTAGTTTCATTTGTTCGCAGCACTTGGTTTGGTCATAGTGGTTAAGTAAACTTTCACTTTTTCAGCCTTGTATTTCATATAGTAAAAAGACCTTTTTATACTAGATTTTAATTAATTAAGATAAAGTGATATTTTTGTCATAATATTAAAAAAAAAATCCTGAAAAAGTCCTATTTTAACTAAATTTTGCTTTAAATATCTCTGAGACTTCATTTAACAAAGCTCTGTTAACTGCCTAACGGAGCTCTGTTAACATTTTTTGGTTTGTGTCTTTGCTAGTCAAATTTAAATATAACTTCACACCCTTAAAAATATATAATATTTTGTGTTTTCAATGAATTGAGTTGCGACTGAGAATTAAGAATTTTCTGAAAAATTATTGTCGAAGAAGTTGCAGGGTGAATAGGTAGGAAGCATCAATAATTCGAAAACAAAATACTGTTGGGTGCGTTCTTTCGGGAAGTACTGATAGTACTTTGGGTTACCCCCATTGCTTTGGCATTAGATAATTAGAAGAGTGGGCAGGTCTCGCCTTGAAACGCACGCATATATCTGTTAGTCTAAGCCCTCTCACCTGCAGGATTATCTTGTAAGCTGTGGGGCGCCGGAAATCGGTCGTAAATTACCGAAGAAGCCTATGGACTTCGTCTAATTAAGTCGCTAAGGCAAGCGCAGACGCTCAACACCTAGAGGAAGCAAATAATGAAATTTCTTACACGGATGAACTAAGAATATTTTGAAAAATTATCGTACCGTGTCGGGCACTATAAACAAACGTTATGTTCAGTGTAACATAGATAATTGACAAAACTAGTCTCGTTTTGCATTTAATTTAATTCAGCTTATGTTGACAAAAGTGTCGGAAATAACGGCAAGGTGAACATATCGAAATAGAAAAAAATGTAAACAAATGTTTTCGCACATTGTTGCTAAAAATCTTTTCGTCTTCTTTCGTGCTATCGTGACTTTGGCCAATTTCATGCAAAAAGCTAAGCGAGAGGGTACGAAAAAGTTTTTTTCCAAAGAAACTTAAAGAAAGAAGAATATCGTTAGAAACGCATTAGGAATACGCAATGAGACATGGATGAAACGGCACTAACTTGAACTTCAGTAGAAACTCTATATAAGGTGCTACGCTATTAAACCGAGAGCCGAAAGAGAACAAAATCGAGAGAGAACGATTCTGATACATACTGTTTGCACTGAAGATATTTTAATGATTTCAAGTTGAGGTGAAGTCATGCGCAAAGATCAAGTTCTCGTTACATAACACATATTAGAAGAATTCAATAACAAATCATTAACTCAATGAAATTATGCTGAAATGCAGAAATGTATATTCCTGTTTTTTCATTCTAATTGGTGGTCGATAAAGCAGTATTACTGCGTTCACTCATGCGACGGGAAGGTGGCGGTTGCCCTTCCGTTTTTTCATTTCGTCCATGTTTTTGTATTCCTGTCTACTGTAGCTTGTGAGTAATGCGCAGAGTTTTTTTTTTTTTTTGGTTTTGAAACAGAGTTGTTCTTAGCTTATATCGCCTTGTGAGCATATACTTTGACCAATTTGCCCTGTTTTCAAAAACAAGCCTGCCCGCAAAAAACTTCCAGTGTTTTCGCCAAATTTGAAGCCGTTGCTATTATCTATGTGGCTAGGGAAATTTTTGCCAGAGACGCTACACAGGCGCACAAACTGATGGGCGAACGAATTCAAAATTTGATTCTGATATACCTTGGTTTACTCATATGCCGCGGAGATGGGTATAACACGGGCTTCCGAAGGTACAAAGTTTTTTATCATTGTCCTCGCTATATATTCTCCACCTGAGCGATATGGCACCATTATTATTATTATTATTATTATTGATCCTCTTATATTAGGTGGAACTTAACTTATGGTTTCTCATTAAGTATATAATATTATGAACTTTCGATTCTGGGAGACACTGTGTGTTTCTCCATTATTTGGATCTTTAGAAATTTGTGCAGGCTACTACACAATCTCATCTTTTCCATATTGGACGGTTATATGTATTAAATCATATGCGACACTCTTAGATGATAATGGACTTGATTAGTGCTAATTACTTATTTTTAAAAAAAAAATTAGAGTCTCGGCAACGTACTGATTAAAGTAAAGGAATTTCTCTAAAGAGATGTCTAAGTATGTCACTGTTTGTTTATGTGTTATGCTATGCTTGGTTAAGTTAGATTTGAGGTTAAACCTTTTCAAATTTTTTCTTTCATACCCATTTGAAGAGCGCAGGTTCGCAAAGCATGCATACATAAGTACACATTTTCGATAAGCATCCAAATTTTAAATGATCTGTAAAAGTCTGAGCGTCCACTCACCTACCTGTCTGCGATCTACACTCTCCCGGTTGTAAGCAGTAAAGCATCGACTTCAAACGGAGTACAACATAAATTGAGCGCACCCCTGTTTTCGCAAACAAAATTTTTTTTTCTCTTTATACATATCCTAAAGTACTTGGATATAACAATAACAATTTCATGTCCATTCTATGAGCGATTCTATGAGCGATTCCTATATTCAATATTTGTACAAAATAAGGAAAAGTCGTCTACGGCTATTCAACAGTACAGAGTATCGACAGAGTAAAGAAAGACGTCGAGTATGAAAGATTCGCCGACAACCCAATGTAATTTCCTTACTTGTTTATATTGTTGTTTGCCATTTATCTAGCGTAGGTTTGAAAAAAAATAGTTTCAGGTTTTTTTTTGACGCTCATTGTTGTACTCCGATCATCGGCGTACTTTTTACCGATAATAAAAGAGCTTTATAAATATTAGTTGTTGTTTTTTTTTTTATTCGTGCTACCCGCCTGGCATATACGTACATGGCAATGTTATCTGCATATGATATAAGTTTTCCAATTTGCTGATCAAATCGAAAGTCAACAAGAAAAGAAGATTATATATGAAATCGCTGTGGGCAACGAACTTTAGATGGTAAAGATGAAATTCTAGATGCAGCCAAAAGTTACTTTTCTTATTTTTTAAATTTATCTTTATAGATTGAAATCAATAATTTAATAATTTGAATGTAATGTAAAAAGGCAATGACTTTATGTTAAACGAT